CCTCATAACTGCTGGTTTCTCTCTCTCATGTCGTGTTGTATACCCTACACCTCTGCGCAGAACAAAGCCTACTTAGTGTGCTCTCAGCTCATGTTTCTGAACCCGCCGGAGAAAATACAGTACTACCCTACACCGGAGGAAGTGTTCGACGCGTTCTCGGTCCACTTGTCTGCAGAAGGGCTCGAGGCAATGAAGCTGCTGTGGTTGCACAATGACAAGTCAACCATGGGAGTCTTCAACCACCAGCTGTCCTCAACAAGGTCAACTATCAACTCCACCCTCAGGCCAGCAGCATACACCGGCATGGGCCTTGCCGATTACCACCATCTCGTTGAAAGCCTGCCCACTGAGCTACACCCAACGACCTGGTTCGACGACGATCAACTCCTAGCCGAGTACAGAGATGGTATGTGCAACTGGAAAACACCATATGCCAGTTGGCAGCTACATATCTCCGTGCGATGTGGCTCACCCTGACTCTCATCCCCCCACTTGATTTCTCTACAAAACCCTTTCCAACCCTTACCCTCCCTGCCAAAATGCAGAACAGTGGGCCCTCAACTGGCACTTTGACAAGGCCACCGGGACGCCCTTTAGCAACCCCTTGTTCGCTTATGCGTTCAATCTCTCCTTCAAGAGGGGCGGGGCGGTGTTCACAAAGTTCAGGAGCCGCATGGTGGCATGGGGCCTGTTTTCGGTAAGGATGTAGATATGTGTTTGTACCCCCATGCCTCATCCCCTTCACCCCTTGCTTGTACTTGAGCTAAATCCCTGGTCAATTAAGCCTTTGGAGTTACGTAGATAGTGACGACTGAATCACCGCTTTCAGTTGGCTCATTTACCCGCAACCTGTCAAACTTATATATGCTATAGTCTGTTTAGGCTGTAGTGGGGTAGTTCTTAGAGGGTACAACACTTTTGTGTTCTCTACTTGTACCCATCTCATTCCTAGTTCAATCATTCATTCCTATCATTCTCACATGGTATAGAGCTAGTTCGACCTTTTTCCTAAGGGCCCACCACTAAAACGATTTTTTTTTTCCTTACCTGCCCGACGCGCGCGTCGCGCCTGCCCTTCGCGGCCCCTTCGCGGCCCGTAGCGGCCCCCCTCACGGCCCGTAGAGGCCCCTTTGTGCCCGTAGTGGCCCCTTTCGTGGCCCGTAGCGGCCCCCCCCCTTGCGGCCCGTCTCGGCCCCTTTGCGGCCCGTGGCGACCCTTTCACGGCCCGTCGCGGCCCCTTATAGGCCCGTCGCGGCCCCTTCCGCGGCCCCGTCGCGGCCCCTTACGCGGCCCCTTCCGCAGCCCCGTCGCGGCCCCTTACGCGGCCCCTTATGCGGCCCCGTCGCGGCCCCTTACTCGGCCCCTTATAGGCCCGTCGCGGCCCCCTTATAGGCCCGTCGCGGCCCCTTATAGGCCCGTCGCGGCCCCTTCCGCGGCCCCGTCGCGGCCCCTTACGCGGCCCCTTCCGCGGCCCCGTCGCGGCCCCTTACGCGGCCCCTTACGCGGCCCCGTCGCGGCCCCTTACGCGGCCCCTTAAGCGGCCCTGTCGCGGCCCCTTACGCGGCCCCTTACGCGGCCCCGTCGCGGCCCCTTACGCGGCCCCCTTCCGCGGCCCCCTACTTGGGCCCGACCCTGTCCCGGCCCCGACCCCGTCGCGGCCCCGTCGCGGCCCCGTCGCGGCCCCGACCCTGTCCTGCCCCGGCCCCGTCGCGGCCTCGTCCTGGACCTGCCCCGGCCCCGACCCTGTCCCGGCCCTGCCCCGGCTCCGACCCTGTCCCGGCCCTGCCCCGGCCCCGTCGCGGCCTAGTCCCGGACCTGCCCCGGCCCCGTCCCGGACCTGCCCCGGCCCCGACCCTGTCCCGGCCCCGTCGCGGCCCCGTCCCGGACCTGCCTCGGCCCCGACCTTCTCCCGGCCCCGGCCCCGACCCTGCCCTGGCCCCGTGGCGGCCCAGTCCCGGACCTGTCGCAGCCCTGCCCCGGCCCTGCCCCGGCCTCGCCCCTGGTAAGAGCATAGCCGGGCCGAGTCGCGTTGCCGAGCCGCCCTGCCGAGCCGCGCTGCCGAGCCGCCCTGCCGAGTCGCGCTGCCCTGCCTAGCTGAGTTGCTCCTGCTGCTACTGCTGCTATCACTGCTTTGCACTGCTGCTATCACTGCTTTGCACTGCTGCTGCTCCTACTGCTACTATGGCTAGTCCCACCGTTCTCACCTTTGATGCTGAGGGACGTGCAGTTGGCTTTGACGTGTGGGTTGACGATCTCCAGCTGTTTCTTCAGTGTGATTCTAGGGATGGGGTATCTCTTTTCGATCACACGTCTGGTGTTTCCACTGCTCCTGCTGTCACTGCTGACAGTACTGTTCGCTCTCAGTGGACCACTCGGGACGCTGTTGCTCGTCTTGCTGTTCGTAGTCACTTGCCGCCTGCTGAGCGCGCACACTTTGGCCAGTACAAGACTGCTCAGTCTTTGTACGACGCTGTAGTTGCACGCTACTCCTCCCCTTCCACTGCTGCACTCAGCCGCCTCATGCTGCCGTACCTTTTCCCTGACCTTGCCGCCTTTGCCACAGTCGCTGACCTAGTTGCTCACCTTCGCACTAGTGACGCTCGCTACCGTGCTGCCCTTCCCACTGAGTTCTGTGCCAAGAACCCCCCCCCCATGTACATCACCCTTTACTACCTAGTCACCCACCTCCCTGACTCACTTTCCTCAGTCAGGGATCACTTCCTCTCCCTTTGCCCCACCGAGCTGACTGTCGACCTGCTAGAGGAGCGCCTTACTGCAGCTGAGAAGAGTATCGTAGCTGTAGGTGCTTCTCGCGGCGACCGTCGCACCCCTTTCTTTGAGGGGTGTTCCCCTGTCCCCCTTCTCCCCTCTGTTGCTTCTGCTGCTGCTGTCGACCTCGTTGGCACTGAGGAGGTCGGGGCTGCGTCTGCTCCGAGTGGGAGACGCCGCAACAGCAAGGGCAAGGGGAGCAGAGGTGGTGGAGGGGGCGGCGGGGGGGAGGTGGTGGCGGAGGAGTAGGGGGTGGCGGTGGAGGTGGGGGTGGCACCGGGAGTGGGGGCTTCAGTGGCGGCAGTGGAGGTGGTGGAGGCAGCGGCAGAGGTGGTGGAGGCAGCGGCGGAGGTGGTGGAGGCAGCGGCAGCGGTGGTGGAGGTGGCGGCGGCGGTGGTGCTGGTCGAGGTGCAGCCGCGCAGCGTGGAGGCGCTGGTGGTAGCCAGCGTCAGCAGCAGCCGCGCTCCAGTGAGACCCCGTCGGTTCAGCAGCTTCGTCAGTGGTACGCTGGGCGTGGGAGGTCTGGGGGTGCAGGTCCCTGCGCTTACGTTCTTCGCACCGGCCCTCGTAGTGGGGAGGTGTGTGGGCTCCCACACACCACGCAGCGCTGCTTTGGTCGCTTGACTGACGCTTGGCGTACCCAGTTTCCTGACATGATCTGCTTCTGCAGAATGTGCCTATCTTTGATCTAGATTTTGATGCTATCCTTGCTGCCATGTATGCTCTTGCTGATATTACTGAGGGTGACTGTTACCTGCGTGTCCCGCCCGACCCGGGCACTGCGGCTGCTGCTCTAGGTGCTAGTGCGGCTGCTGCCCTAGGTGCTCGTGCGTCTGCTGCTCCAGGTGCTGGTACGTCTACTCTCTCTGGTACTGCACCTACTGAGGCCTTGCACACTTTCACACTTGACTCTGGTGCTTCGCGCTCTTTCTTTAGAGACAGCACCACGCTCACGCCGCTCAGTCGGCCTGTTGTGGTCTCCCTTGCTGACCCCTCAGGGGGCCCAGTCCTTGCACGCTCCTCTACAGTTTTACCGTGTCCTGCGGCCCCGTCGGGCTTGCTGTCGGGACTCCACCTCCCCTCGTTCTCTACGAACTTGGTGAGTGGAGCTGACCTCCAGGACGCGTGGGTTGACCAGTTCACCCCTGGAGGTCAGCGTGTGACCCACTGCACTTGCTCTCGGACAGGTCGCCACCTGGCCACGTTCACCCGTCGGCCAGGGTCGAGTCTGTACACACTGACTACTGCGCCTTCTCCGGTCTCTGCGTCTGGTCAGGTAGCTGCGTCTAGTCAGGTCTTTGCTGCCGCGTCCAGGTCTAGTCCTGCGTCTGCCCCCTGCTCGTGTCGTCCTTTGTCGCACGAGACTCTCCTTTGGCACCACCGCCTTGGTCACCCCTCCCTGCCTCGTCTTCGAGGTATGGCCTCCCGTGCCCTTGTCTCTGGTCTCCCCAGGTCCCTCCCTCCCCTTCCTCCGGGGCCTGCTCCCACCTGTGTTCCTTGTGTCGAGGACCGGCAGCGCGCCACCCCTCACTCCTCCTCGTTCCCTCCGACTGAGGCTCCTCTGCAGACTCTTCACATGGACGTGTGGGGCCCAGCCCGCGTCCGTGGACAGGTTCACGAGCGTTACTTCCTGCTGGTCGTTGACGACTACTCGCGTTACACCACAGTCTTCCCCTTGCGCAGCAAGGGTGAGGTCCCTGAGGTGTTGATCGACTGGATCCGCGGTGCTCGTCACCAGCTTAGTGAGAGTTTCGGCTCAGACCTTCCTGTTCTGCGTCTGCACTCAGACAGAGGCGGGGAGTTTTCCTCCAACCTCTTGAGAGCCTTCTGTCGTTCTGAGGGCATCCGCCAGACGTTCACGCTTCCGACCTCCCCGCAGCAAAATGGGATTGCTGAGCGCCGCATTGGCATGGTCATGGACGTCGCTCGTACGTCCATGATCCATGCGGCTGCTCCCCATTTTCTGTGGCCGTTCGCGGTTCAGTACGCAGCGCATCAGATCAACCTTCAGCCTCGTGTCTCCTTGCCGGAGACCACACCTACTCTGCGGTGGACGGGGAAGGTTGGCGATGCGTCCGCGTTCCGTGTCTGGGGATCTCGAGCTTTTGTCCGCGATACTACTGCGGACAAGCTGTCCTCCCGTGCCGTTCCCTGTGTCTTCCTTGGCTTCCCTCCTGACGCACCCGGGTGGCAGTTCTACCACCCCACCTCGCGTCGTGTTCTGTCGTCTCATGACGTCACGTTTGACGAGTCGGTGTCGTACTACCGTCTCTTTCCCTACCGCACTGCCTCTCCCCCCCCCCCCGCCGCTCTTCCTTGCCCCTGGTACTCCCCCGGTAGACCCCCTCCCCCCCCAGGGTCCTGCCCCCTCAGGTGTGTCCCAGGTAGACCCTGCCGAGCCGGTCGAGGTAGCTGTCGACTCAGGTGCTGAGTCTGGGGGTGCTGAGCCTGCGGGTGCGGGGACTGGGGGTGCTGAGTCTGGCGGTGCTGAGTCTGGGCGTGCTGAGCCTGGGGGTGCTGAGCCTGTGCGTGCTGCGTCTGGAGGTGCTCTCGGTGTCCCGCCGCGGCGGGAGCCTCTCTCTCCACAGCGGCTTCGTGAGTGGTACTCTGGGCTCTGTCGGGGTACTGCTGGGGCTTCTGGAGGTGCTGCTGGTGCTGGTGCTGGAGGTGCTGCTGGGGCTTCTGGAGGTGCTGCTAGTGCTGGTGCTGCTGGAGGTGCTGCTGGTGCTGGAGGTGCTGCTGGAGCTTCTGGAGGTGCTGCTGGTGCTGCTGGTGCTGCTGGAGGTGCTGCTGGTGCTGGAGGTGCTGCTGGGGCTTCTGGAGGTGCTGCTGGTGCTGGTGCTACTGGAGGTGCTGCTGGAGCTTCTGGAGGTGCTGCTGGTGCTGGTGGTGCTGGAGGTGCTGCTGGAGGTGCTGCTGCTGCTGGAGCTGCTGGAGGTGCTGGAGGTGCTGCTGGGACTGGAGACCCTGGGGCTGAGGGTACCGGTCCTGTTTCTGCTGTTTCTGGAGGCGCTACGCGGCCACGGCCGTACTACGTTCCGCTCCTTCAGCAGGTTCTTAGCTCACCGCCTTCTCCTGGTCCTCCTCCTTTCCTGAGTCCGCCGCCTGTCCGGTCCCAGTCACAGTTGCAGCCGGCCTCTCCGCTGCCTGGTCCTTACTGTGGACCGACTGGAGGACTTACGGAGCGTCGTGAGCCTGAGTCTCGTCCTGTGTCGCCTGCGTCTCATGCTGCGTCGCCTGTCCGTACTGTTCGCGCTGGTCGTGTTTCACGTCCGCGTCTCCCTCCTGTCCCAGGCACTCACTTTATGACTCTGCGTCCTTCTACTGCTCCACAGCGTGTCCCTCTGCCGTCTCCTCCTGCGTCCTCTCTTCTTGCCAGTCCGGACCCGGAGTCTGACTCCCTTCGTGCTGCTAGTCCAGCTGTCACGCGCTTTCTGGCCACTGCTGTCACTGACCCTCTGTTTGAGTCCTCTGCTGCGTCTGCTCTTGTCACTGAGCTTGTTGACATTGCTGCTGCCTGTCGCCTAGACTACGCTGCTAGTCTGGTTGCTGCGTCTGTGTCTGTCTGTCCTCCGTCCGTCGGGGGTGAGTTTGCTCTTAGCACGGACGTTCTTGAGGACAGACAGGAGGAGTTTGAGTGCTTTGCTGCTTCTGTACCTCATCTCGTGTCCATGCTGCTGGCCCCTGAGGGAGACCCGGATGCACTAGACATCCCGACCCCGCGCTCTTACGCAGAGGCGATAGAGGGTCCTGTCAAACATTATATGTTTATATTGTGTAGGCTATAGTGGGTTTAGCCTTAGGGGGTACAGCTTTGTTAGGGTTTCCTACTTGTATCCCCCTCCTACCTAGTTTCACCCATTCTCGTTCTATTCTAGATTCTAACATGGTATCACGAGCCTAGGTTGCTACCTAGGACCACTTTCTACTATGGGCTCACTATTCCGCTAGAAGCGCCCTCGTGCGCCCTACCTTACGTGCGCCCTCGTGCGCCTTTCTCTGCTAGTGCACCTTCGTGCGCCCTCGTGCGCCCTCGTGCGCCTTTCTCTGCTAGTGCGCCTTCGTGCGCCTTCGTGCGCCCTCGTGCGCCCTCGTGCGCCTTCGTGCGCCCTCGTGCGCCCTCGTGCGCCCTCGTGCGCCCTCGTGCGCCCTCGTGCGTCCTCGTGCGCCCTCGAGCGCCCTCGTGCGCCCTCGAGCCGCCCCTGCAGGTCCGTCAGGCCCCCTGAGCCGCCTCTGCAGACCCGTCAGGCCCCCCCCGAGCCGCCTCTGCAGGCCCGTCAGGCCCGAGAGCCGCCCCTGCAGACTCGTCAGGCCCGCGCGCAGCCTCTGCCCGACCGCGCGCCGCCCCTGCAGGCTCTCGCCGCCCGCCGCGTCGCCCTGCCCGCGGCGTCGCCGCCTGCCCGCGGCGTCGTCACCTGCCCGCGACGTAGCCCCTGCCCGCGGCGTCGTCGCCTGCCCGCGGCGTCGTCGCCTGCCTGCGGCGTCGTCGCCTGCCCGCGACGTAGCCCCTGCCCGCGACGTCGTCGCCTGCCCGCGGCGTCGTCGCCTGCCCGCGGCGTCGTCGCCTGCCCGCGGCGTCGTCACCTGCTCGCCGTGTCGCCCTGCCCGCGGCGTCGCCACCTGCTCGCGGCGTCGCCCTGCTCCCGGCGTCGTCACCTGCTCGCCGCGTCGCCCTGCCCGCCGCGTCGCCCTGCTCGCGGCGTCGTCACCTGCTCGCCGCGTCGCCCTGCCCGCGGCGTCGTCACCTGCCCGCCGCGTCGCCCTGCCCGCGGCGTCGCCACCTGCCCGCCGCGTCGCCCTGACCTAATCCGCGCCTGGCCTCTGGAGCAGCCGCCCCTGCAGCAGCCGCCCCTGGCCACTGGAGCAGCCGCCACTGCAGGAGCCGCCCCTCGCCCCTGGAGCAGCCGCCCCTGCAGCAGCCGCCCCTAGCCCCTGGAGCAACCACCGCTGCAGCAGCCGCCACTGCAGCAGCCGCCTCTGGCACCTGGAGCAGCTGCCGTCGCGGCCCGGCCTCGCCCTGCAGCAGCTGCCGCGGAGCTCCCTGCTGCGGCCCGGCCCCGCCCTGCAGTTGTAGCGGCCCCGCTGTCCCCACCGTCTTGCGCCTGCCGCGCCGACCACTGGTGAGCATTGCCCTGCCAGCACTGCTACCACTGCTACTGCTGCTACTGCCTTTTCTACTCCCACTGCTACTGCTCCTGCTGTTACTGCTGTTACTGCCGCTACTGCTGCTACTGCTGCTCCTGGCGTGGCCAGATGCAGCTCCAGGGCCGTGCGCGTGAGTCCCTCACGCCCCAGCAGCTTCATGAGTGGTACACTAGTTGGGGCTGTCGGGGTGGCCGTAGTGGTAGTCGCTTTGGAGTGGGTCGGTCGGGAGCTTCTGGTAGTGGACAGGTGCAGCTGCCGTGTCCTCTTTCGCCCCAGCAGCTTCGTGCGTGGTACGCTAGTTGGGGCTGTCGGGGTGGCCGTAGTGGTAGTCGCTCTGGAGTGGGTCGGTCGGGAGCTTCTGGTAGTGGACAGGTGCAGCTGCCGTGTCCTCTTTCGCCCCAGCAGCTTTGTGAGTGGTACGCCAGTTGGGGCTGTGGGGTGGCCGTAGTGGTAGTCGCTCTGGAGTGCGTCGTTCGGGAGCTTCTGGTAGTGGACAGGTGCAGCTGCCGTGTCCTGTGAGTGAGGCTGCCGCTCTAGGTGCTAGTGCGTCTGTTGCCCTAGGTGCTGGTGAGGCTACCACTCCCGGTACTCGCGTGTCTGCTACCCCAGGTGCTGGTGAGGCTGCTGCTCTAGGTGCTAGTGAGTCTGCGCCCCCTGGTACTGAGTCGACTGAGGCACTGCACACCTTCACTCTGGACTCAGGTGCTTCTCGCTGTTTCTTTCGTGACCGCACTGCCCTTGAGCCGCTTGCTCGGCCAGTTGCTGTCTCCCTCGCTGACCCCTCTGGGGGTCCGGTCATTGCGACCTCCTCCACTGTCCTTCCTTGTCCTGCGGTCCCGTCGGGCACACTGTCAGGTCTCCACCTCCCCTCGTTTTCTACAAACTTGGTGGCGGGTTGTGCGCTCCAGGACGGGGGTGTTCACCAGTTCACCCCTGCCTACGAGCGCGTCACACACTGCACGTGTGCTCGGACGGGCCGTCACCTGGCTACCTTCACTCGGCAGCCGGGGTCGGACCTGTACACACTGACCACTGAGTCCCCTCAGGTAGCTGCGTCTGCGTCTGCGTCAGGTCAGCTGTCGGCCCCCTGCTCGTGTCGCTCTCTGGCGCACGAGACCGTCCTCTGGCACCACCGACTTGGTCACCCGTCCGTGCAGCGCCTTCGTGCCATGCACAAACGGTACCTTGTCTCTGGTCTTCCCAGGGTTCTCCCTCCCCTCCCACCCTCGCCTGCTCCTCCCTGTCTTCCCTGTGTCGAGGGGCGGCAGCGCGCCGCTCCTCACTCCTCCTCGTTTCCCCCGACGACTGCTCCCTTGCAGACGCTCCACATGGACGTGTGGGGCCCAGCCCGCGTCCGTGGTCAGGGTCAGGAGAGGTACTTCCTGATAGTTGTTGACGACTACTCGCGCTACACCACGGTCTTCCCCTTGCGCACCAAGGGTGAGGTCCCTGCTGTTTTGATCCCTTGGATCAGCGCTTCTCGTCTCCAGCTCAGCGAGCGTTTCCACTCGGACTTTCCTGTCCTGCGCTTGCACTCTGACAGAGGTGGTGAGTTCTCCTCCGACCTCTTGGCAGCCTACTGTGCGGAGCACGGCATTCGCCAGTCGTTCACGCTTCCGGCCTCTCCACAGCAGAATGGGGTTGCTGAGCGCCGCATTGGCTTGGTCATGGAGGTCGCTCGTACCTCCTTGATCCATGCGGCTGCCCCCCACTTTCTGTGGCCGTTTGCAGTCCGATACGCTGCGCATCAGCTCAACCTCTGGCCCCGTGTCTCCGTTCCGGAGACTTCGCCGACACTGCGTTGGACAGGAGAGGTTGGCGATGCGTCACGCTTTCGGGTCTGGGGATCTCGAGCCTTTGTTCGCGATACGTCCGCGGACAAGCTCTCCTCCCGCGCTGTTCCTTGTGTCTTCCTTGGCTTTGTCCCGGACGCGTCTGGTTGGCAGTTTTACCACCCCACCTCGCGCCGTGTCCTGCCTTCTCAGGACGTCACTTTCGACGAGTCCGTCCCCTACTACCGCCTCTTCCCCTACCGCACTGCCCCGCTTCCCCCCCCGCCTCTCTTCCTCGCGCCAGGTGCTGCTGTGGTAGACCCCCTCCCCCCTCAGGGTGCCGCTCCCTCAGGTGTGTCCCAGGTAGACCCGGTTAAGCCTGACGAGGTAGCTGTCGACTCTCGTCCTGCTAGGGGTGCTGAGCCTGAGGGTGCTGAGTCTGAGCGTGCGGAGCCTGGGGGTGCGGAGCCTGGGGGTGCGGAGCCTGGGGTTGCGGAGTCTGGGGGTGCGGAGCCTGGGGTTGCGGAGTCTGGGGGTGCTGAGCCTGGGGGTGCGGAGCCTGCGGGTGCTGAGTCTGGGGGTGCTGAGTCTGGAGGTGCTGAGCCTGGGAGTGCTACACCTGGAGGAGCTCTCTCCTCACAGCAGCTGCGTGAGTGGTACTTACAGTACTGCAGCCTCAGGAGAGGTGCTTCTGGAGCCAGGAGTACTGCTGGAGCTGGTGCTAGTGCTTCCCCTCCTAGGCGGGAGCTGCCCTCTTCCCAGCGGCTCCGAGAGCGGTACGCACGGCGCTGCAGTCTTCGGAGTGGCGCTCCTAGTGTCGCGGACCCAGCTGCTGGAGGTTCTGCTGCTGGCGGTGCTTCTGGCGCTGCTGGAGGTACTGCTGGTGCTGGAGCTGCTGGTGCTGCTGACGCTGCTGGAGGTGCTGCTGGTGCTGGTGGTACTGCTGGTGCTGCTGGAGCTGCTGGAGGTGCTGCTGGTGCTGGGGCTGCTGGAGCTGCTGGAGGTGCTGCTTCTTCTGGAGGTGCTGCTGGCGCTGCGGACCCTGGAGTTGGAGCTGCTGCTGGTGCTGAGGACCCGGGAGTTGGAGCTGCTGCTGGTGCTGAGGACCCTGGAGGTGGAGCTGCTGCTGGTGCTGAGGACCCTGGCGCTGGTGTCTCTGCTGGTTCTGGAGACGCTGCGCGGCCGCGGCTGTACTTCGTTCCGCTCTTTCAGCAGGTTCTTGGTCAGCCTCCTCCTCCTTGTCCTCCTCCCTCCTTAGAGTGTCCTCCGTCTGTCCAGTCGCAGTCACAGTTACCGTCTGCCTCCCCTCTCCCTGGTCCTTCTCCTTACACTGGTCCGACTGGAGGTCTTACGGAGCGTCGTGAGCCTGAGTCTCGTCCTGCGTCGCCTGAGTCTCGTCGAGCGTCGCCTGTTCGTGCTGCTCACACTGGTCGTCGTGTCCCGCGTCAGCGTCCTCCTGCTGTCCCAGGCACTCACCAGATGGCGCTTCGTCCTTCCACTGCTCCCCAGCGTGTCCCTCTCCCGTCTCCTCCTGCGTCCTCTCTTCCTGCTCTTGCTGACCCTGAGTCTGACTCCCTTCGTGCTGCCAGTCCTACTGTCACGCGTCTCCTGGCTACTGTTGTCACTGACCCTTCCTTTGAGTCCACTGCTGCGTCTGCCTTAGTTGCCGAGCTTGTCGACTTTGCTGCCACTTGTCGTCTAGACTACGCCGCTAGCCTAGTTGCTAAGTCTGAGTCTGTCTGTCCTCCGTCCGTCGGGGGTGAGTGTGCTCTTGGCACGGACGTCCTTGAGGACAGGCAGGAGGAGTTTGAGTGCTTTGCCGCTGCTTTACCTCATCTCGTGTCCATGCTAGTTGCCCCTGAGGGAGACCCGGATGCACCAGACATCCCGACTCCTCGCTCTTACGCAGAGGCGATAGAGGGTCCCTACTCCTCTCAGTGGCAGACAGCCATGGACGCAGAGATGGCTTCCTGGAAGTCCACAGGCACCTACGTCGACG